AGTGGTATGACAGGACGAACGTGCCGCAAATACCGAGTAAAACGAACGTGCTCTTAAGAGGGTTGGCAGCAGAGGTGGTTGGTAGGGGGTGAGGCGCCTACTACTACTACTACTACTACTACTACTACTACTACTCCTACTACTACTACTACTACTACTACTCCTACTACTCCTACTACTCCTACTACTCTACTACTACTACTACTACTACTACTACTACTACTACTACACTATTACCACTATCACTACCACAACTTCTACTTGGCCACGCGCCCCTCGTGCGACGCCCGTCGCGGAGCATATTGTTGAGAAGATGACGAAGATGCTGATGCTAGGATGGTGGTCGTGATGATGCGCACAATGATGGATGATGAGAATGACATGAACTTGACTCACATAGTAGCGCGAAGTTCTCCAACAGTCTCGAAAGTAGGAACCCCACTCGGTGCGATGGCAAGCGGCCTTTTCTGCTGTTTCCCCAGATCGCCTTAGACCATGGACGTCAATAGGTTTTTTTGCATGGATGTTCTGTTCCCAAGCGCAGTAGACTCAGTAGACCATGGATGTTATTTGATTTTCGGCATGGATGCTTTGTTCTCAAACACAGTAGACCATGGATGTCATTAGGTGTTGTGCTCTGTTCTCAAACACAGTAGACCATGGAAGTCATTTGGTGTTGTGCTCTGTTCTCAAAACATGGCTGTTATTAGGCTTTTGGCATGGATGCTCTGTTCTCAAACACAGTAGGCCATGGATGTCATCTGGCATGGATGCTTTGTTCTCAAAGTCCGTAGACCATGGACGTTACTAGGTTGTTGGCATGGATGCTCTGTTTTCAAAAACAGTAGACCATTAGTTTTTTTGTTTGTTCTCAAAGTCCGTAGACCATGGAAGTTATTGGGTTTTTGGCATGGATGCCCTGTTCTCAAGCTCAGTAGACCATGGACGTCATTAGGTTCTTGACATGGATGCTTTGTTCCCAAACAGAGAACTGCTGTAGAGACCAGCATCTTTGAGCACAACAAGGAAGAGCAACCTTGAAGAAACAGCCAAAAACAGGAAAAATACGAGTGTTTTATTAAATTTCAGTCGCATGAGAGATTAGATGAACATGCAGAGAACGACAATTAGACAACAAAACGCCTTCATTCTGATCGCTAGGTTTTGGGCACGAAAATCGAGACCTCAAAAAACAGCAAAAAATCAAGAAATTGAGA